TTCGCTCTGAATTTTGCGTGCGATAATGATGCTTTTGTCCCTGGTCTATCTGCAGGTGAATTTGGCTATTAATTATTAGTTTAATTTATGTTAAATCAGTTTGCATCAAAAGTTATCTGCAGATGAAATTGATGAGCGTATTGTCTCTTAACTGCTCTTGTTATGGTTTCCACCAACGGCTCTTTTAGTAAAGTGGCGAAATTTTTTTGGATTCGTTCACTTAAAAGTCGCAACTGTTCGATTTTAGCCATCAACCTGTAATGATTGTCTGAAGCTTCACAATCAGATTCACAAACTGTCCGCAAATAGCGTCGAAGTAAATGAATATACGAGAATTGTTCATATCTGCAAAATGAAGTTTAAAATGTCAAACTTAAATATGAACCTTGGACATTAACTCGAAAGAGTAATATCAATTTGAACAAACCTGATTACTGCGGGATGTTTCAATCCAGATATGTCACCATTGAAAATAATGATTAGATATATGAGAATAATGACATTTATATCATTTCTAAATTGATCGGGAAAGGTTTCGATTACGTGAACAAGTCCATCGTGCAAGAGTTTGTTGAAGATGAACGTATCTCGTCGATCAAGTTTAAATTCTGAAAACTTTGAATATCGAATAAAAAAGAAAACAATTTATAAAAAATGATTTCAAGAAATGTTAGCAAGTTGGTTATGATTACTTACATCCCATCCATCAATTGTTGCATCGTAAATAAAGATACCTTCCATTAAATTAAGATGATTGTATATGTTGGATAAAAGAGTTATTTTATCACTGATTTCGATTTTTCTAAAACCTTTGATTCCAGTACATATTGAAATGAGTTCATCTGGACTTGCTTTTTCTCGTCCTATTCCACCTAAATCTGCAAACAAATGCAAGTATTTATGACCCTTAAAAGCGGCACGCGCTTCATTCATTAATAGTGATTCAAATCCATTCAGTTGCACATCATAGGACAAATATTCACTCCTCAAACTCAATGAAGAAAAGGAAACAGCAAGAATTTTTTGACTAACATTAGGATTCCATGGCTCTGCAACTTCACTATTGTCCGTGTTTAGTGACAAGATCAATTTATATCCACGCTCAATGAGACGAATAAAATTTGTTTTTAGATTGAACTTTTCATCGTTTATTTTAGCCCAGAGGTGAGATTTCGCGGCCAGGGGATCAGTTTGCGTGCATGATGAGATAGCCGCTTGAGCTGAAGCTAAGTTAGTGATGAAAATTATCATTAGAATGGGTGACATAAATGATTGAATAATACTTCAACTTACTTAAGCTTTCAACAGCCCATTGGCCATGAGGTTGGTCATTAAAGTTGAGCAAATTTTCGGTGTAATAATCATATGTTTTCATTGACGAGTCAACAAATTGTCCATCATTTTGATTGTTCAATTGATCGCCATCCAGTAAATAACTTTTAACAGTATCTTCATCGGAACTAAAGGCTTTCAAAAGAGCTAGACTTTGGTTTGAACATGGAGATTGATGTAATGGTTGAACAGTTAAAGTGTTGTATAGCGAAGTACAATCTGTACCCAGTGTTGGTGAATCTAAAGATGCTTGAATGGCTAAAAGTATTTGATCGAAATCCATCTTTGCACATCAATCTACAATAATAAACTCGAATCCTAATAAAAATCACCAGAAAACATTAATGATTAATGAATTGCAGAGGATTGAATTTCACTCTTACAATTGTTTGCGATTCTAAGATTATATGTTTCTGTCCTCTCTCTGTATTTGATTATCTAAGCACTCATTTTATTATTTATTCACCTGTCACATGATTTTTTATCGCAATCAGATAATTCCACTGATCCAGTTAGCTATCATAACTAATATGAATCACAGAATGATGAAGCAAGCAACTCGAGAAAACAAATCTTTCACTAAACTTGGGTGATAGTTGTTGATTAGTTTACAATGCTTGTGTTACTTTTTAATGTCAAGCATTTGAATCATTTGCAAAGATCCACGTAAGAATGAAAAAACGTATCAAAAAGAAACAAAACACTTGCTTCGACTGGTTAAAAGGTTGATATTTGTCCAGGGTTTGTTTATTGATTTTCTAATTCACATTGGATGGATTAATATATGTATGTTAATCACACCGGTTCTACTTGGATCTTTTAGTGTTTGTACATTTTTACATAGGTTGAACTGACGGAACAGCTCGAAAGTATGGTCAAGTAATAGGAGGGAAGAAACTTGAGCAGCTCGACTACGGCAAGATCAATTGTCAATTATAAACATTAGGTGAAATAAAACAATCTGTAACTTTGGTCAACCTTTTAATGATTACTTTAAGCGACGATTTTGTTTACTTTGGCACGAGTTTTTTACATTCCAATTTGCGTCTTTTCAATAATTCAAATTGCTTCGCATTGATACTTGCTAACAAATTATCAGTGATTAATGACTTCATTATCCGAATTCTGCATTTCGCCTATCAGTACCAGATCCCATTTTTGTTTGTTTATGTTGAGCCAGATCGCATTAAGAAGAGGATAGATGAATAACATGGATCCAAAGATATAAACAAGACCTGGATTGAAGTCTACTGTTGCTTGAAATATTTCGGTGTAAAAAAGTGATGATATAACTGGATTAAATGATCCAATTACTGCTGTGAAAGCGTAAACTTGGCCAAGCTCATCGGCATGAATCAGACGAGAAGTTATTGAACGATCAACGATAAATATGAGACCAGCAAAACAGCCAACAACAGCAAAAAAGAATGCAACTGGACTGAGAATGAATCCTTTGAAAAGGTAAGCAACAATCAATGAACTAATGCTAATAATGGCTACTGCAGTTTCGTGGAGTTTCATTTTGTGAATAAACAAAGGTGGACCAATAATGATTCCAGCAGCTGGAAACACAATGATGACTGAATTGAAAAGACCGATTTGTGAAGCACTCCAATGATACACTCGCTGAGAAAA